TTTTCGTGACCTCCGGAAGTTTAACAAAAAAAGTCTCACGTCTCGTGGCCTTGTCACTGATTCGTCTTACGCAAACTCAGTTATTTTTGTTTTATTTTCCCTTTTCTACTGGAGGCTTATTTTGGGCGTTTATTGTTTAGTAAGCAGTAAAGCCACAGGCTGACTGGCGAAACAGTCAAACAAAGCCCTGAAAAAACTAGTAGACTCCAAGCGCAGAACCGATCTGTAAGCGACATGGGGACTTGAGATTGCCCTATACTACAATGTTCAAAGGACGGCACAGTCGGGGAAGATACGAGGAAGCCCAGGTTAGCGCGTAATCTACAGTGGCTGCTGCGCTATCTATCAACAGAAAGCTCAATCATTATCGAGGCTTCGGTGACTGTTCAGTTTTTCTTTTGTCACTCGCCGCTTCATCAGCTGTTGCTAATGCTGATTTCGCCGTGTGTAAAGGCGTTCCGCGACGTGAGGCAAAATCAAAAGTTGCGGAATACACCCGGTCGGCAGGCTGAGCGTCGATTTCTGAGCGTCTAATAATGTTTACTGGAAGGGAGATCTTATTTTGTTCTGTACGTCTTTGTTTTCTAATTTCAATTTGATATTTTTGTTTTACATTTACCCATATTGTTTGCCCTTTATGTTTTTTTAATTGCAGAACAATATTGTATAATAATGCTTTTTTACACTAATATGCCATTTGCAGTTTCTTCCGTATAAATGTTTTAAACCCTTTTGAAAGTTTTTGCTTGTGCGTATGTTTTTATGCAATTTGGTTTACTCCAAAAGGTGGCTAAGGCCTTGTCAGGTTTCACGCCTTTTGCCTAGAGCACCCTCTGCGGACGGAATCCGCAGAAACAAGTAAAAAATAAATGAATGAATGAATGCATAAACAAGTTCGCATAATAAATGCCGATAAGCGATTTTTATTTTATTTCACCTAGCAATGCTACGATCGGTGTTGACTAAGCCGATAGCAAAGCGATAGAAAAGTAGTCAAGATGAGAAGACATTCGGACCTCTGCCCTTTTTAGAATGCTTAGCCCAGCAAATAAAGATACTTCGATTAAGAAACCGAAAGATCAGTTAGCGCTGCGGGAAAGGTTTGTTCATGCATCGAGCCTGAAACCGAAATGACGTGTATACCTATTGAACGGTGGTATGCCGGTATCGGCGTATCACATCGACGGGTTCCGTCTCGTGATGCAATACGGAACCTCGGAACTACTGAGAAGATTGACAGTTTCCTGCGTCGACAAGCGAATTTAAGCATGTTGTCGTTCATTTAAATCTGAACAGCATGCATGGTCAATAAATAGATTGATCAAGGTAACTTTCGGCAAGTGTGCTCGAAGCGAGTCTTCAAACCTTTCAGTAGTATTAAGACATTCGTAGAGACCTCCCAACGTCCCTGTATTATTTTACTATACTCTGCCGCTCTTCATTGTCCATAACTAATTCATTTTCGAAATAGTTTTCGCTTCTGCCACCCGTATCCACGAGATGCTGAATTTGTCATATTCAGAAAGAACCGTGAGGTCGGAAGTGGCTCATGCGGCTCGTCGATAGTTTCGGTGTGTCGCGCTCTTGAAAGCTATTCTCCGTTTTGTTGCTACGCTCGGCGGATGAAACTCGGAGCGTCGGAGTAGGAGTAATGGCGCATTGACACTGGCCGTTGAGCTGCGTTCTCGAAGCGGTTGCGGATAAGTTTCGCGAGCAACCCTCTTCTAACACACCGAGACGCGATTGGCTGTTTCTCGGTGATCACGCGTGATCTTTCGAGACTTGCGTTTGGCAACCTTGTCTTACAATCCAAACTCCAGTTTAGTCCACGATTCAAAGCCAAAATTTAGTTGTTTTGGTAATGAAGCTGCTTCTTCAAGATGTTTGCACGCAGTAGCGGCATCACGTGTATCAGGCAGCGAAAATAGAGACATAGACCGGCAAAACCAACCTGCGATTCCCTCAATATTGTTTTTTTATAGGCGCGCCTTGTTGGCTAAGGAAACGATGTTCTCGACCATTTCTTCGAAGTGGAGGCCAGTTCCCTCTTCGTCGTTAGTTTTTATCATTATCGGTGTAGTGAGCGGCACCGGTGAACCGTATTGCAGGGAATGTGTTCGATGCTATCCGGTCATGGCTTCGTTAGTGGCGGACTCTCCTCTCGTCACTCCCACGTCGATCGTGCCTAATGTTTGTTTGACATCAAGCTCAAATAAATGCCGTGGGGATGACGTATGTATCGTCTGGTATGCAGACTCTATTTCTTGAGTAGGTTCCCTTTATTCCTTTTGGTAGTAGTAAACGTTACAGGTCGATCTAGTGTAGGTACCCTGCCAGCTTCGCGGTAGTGTGTTGACTACGCAATTAGGCTCACGACGTGTCTATCGGCCTTCGTGGTGGTCATGCACGGTCTGCAAAGCTTTGAGCAGCCCACGCGATTGTGTTAGGGGGTACAAAACCTGTCACTTCAGTTGATCAGGGACAGGTTTCAACGTTCTACGGGTGAAGACTAACAAGGCAAGGAGCGACGGCCTTTTGCAGCCCGAATTATAAACAAACTCTTACCCGAAACAAATCAACGGAGCGAAGCCCGTTAAGATTACGAGCCAACTCTTTTCGCGGCGGATTCAAGTGACAAACGTGAATATCTGCGTTTATTTTTCTGCTGCAATGCTAGGACTACAGCGCCTCGGACGCCTCACCAGCGACATATGCCATTTTGTTTCGAGAGCGGCCGATGTCACGCCAGTGTCGCGTTGAGATTGGTTGCCGCTTCGCAGTTCGCGAAAGCGGTTGGGGCAAGTCGGCCCCGAAGCGGTTGGCGAAAACGTGCTCGAACCGCTCGATCCTAGCCGTTTTGCGGTTGCGAACGCGCGGATCCGCTTCGCGTTTGCGGATCCGTTCAAGCCATAAAGGAGCGCGGACGTAATGCACCCATAGACCTTCAGATCTACATTTTCCCGTTTCCAAAAAGAAACAAAAACAAATATTGGAGCACGCTTAAGTTTGGAAGTGGAACGCGATAGCGTTATCGGGCCCCCGTTCGCATCGCATTCTCATTCGCTTCTCATGCCTTGAAAAGCGAGCAAGCTATATGTTGAAGCGGGTGCGCTCCGAGATCCGGAGACGCTATCGCATCTCCGGATCGTCTTGTCGCTGCTGTCGCCTCACTTCGGCTTCACAGGCACGCATATCAACATATAAAGACCCGCTAGGACGCGCGTGCCTTGCGTGGCCATGCGTTCCTTGCGTGGCCTATAGTCAGTGGTTTTGTCTGGCTCGCAACCAAAGGATCGTGGTTGCGAACCCCACCTGAAATTCATTATTTCTTGAAAGAAAGTTAATTACTTTATAAAGCGAAATCATTTCAGACATGTGGCGACTTTTCATTCGCAGTACCATGTCATGTTTTAATAACTTTCATTTCACGCGTGACGTCACGTTTCAGGTGAGTCTAGTGGCTGTTTGAAATTCCCGCGGGTGTTATGGGACCGACGCCGGCTTTCCTGCGACAAGCTTCTTAACACTATCGCGTTAAAAACACTTAAATTTGTAGGAAGGCTTTGAAAGCATGCGTGGCTTATACAATTGCCTATCGTATTTATTATAACTGTATCTCTTACGCCTCTTTTCACGTCATGGCGTTCTTTGTGCACGACTTTTATTTCTGCCCACTGGATTGTACAATTCCTGCATTTCTGCGCATACTTCGCTAGCTCTGAGTTGGGAGCTTTGTCTTCGACATTTCGCCTATACTCGGTTAATCTGCATTTTAGATATCTGGAAGTTTTGCTCACGCATTTCAACCAACAGACCAAAGGATGTGTTTCAACCAACAGGCCATTGGGATCTCATACACTGCACCACTCTTACAGTTAACCGACTTCTCTCTATGTGTTTTTTGGCACCCCTTCCTTGCCGCAAGAAAAAATGTAAGGTTCCTCAATATGAAGTTTTTGCTCAACAGATTGTCCCCACGAAACTTATTTTCGCACATGCCTGCGCACTGTGCAATCTCTTATGATAATATGGCATTACCGCGTACGGTTTCTTAGGTCTCTTCCTCCCTTTCTCTTCTTTTTCTCATTTTAGTCATTTGCCTACCGATGACTCCTTCCCCGTAGCCCGCGCCACATACCCCTTTGCACTGACTTTTATTGAGCTCGCAAGATAATGGATACACGATCATCTGTTCGTCACATTGGTGATGACAGATCTTGACACTACCGCTTTCTAGCGTTTTAGAATGACAAGCACTTTGAAAGAATAGGTTTCGGATTGGTTTTTTCTATACTTTTAACACAAACCCTGCCCGACATGAATTCTTCCCACTATCTGCGCTACTCCGCTACGAAGATGTCGTCAACACCTGATCACGCAGATCTCCCAAGGTAATTCTTTGATGTCCTAAACTACGGCGGAGTCCAAAGAGTTCGTACAGATCTCTGCCAGTACTGGTGCCACCGACAAACCTGAACGCACTCCTTTTCGAACATACGTCTTGCCTTTATATTCCTCAATTGTAGAGCAAAAAAAAAAATAAAAAAATACTCCGAAACGGTAAAAAAGAAAAAAGAACATTTACTGATATGCCCAATCCGGGTTGAAATTTGACTAAGTGGAGCTTCACTATCTCCTTCACTCTCTTCATCAATAAATTAATCTAACGAATAATATGAATATTTGATGTCCCTAGATTTTCCCTAGTGCATGTCATATATGCCAATCAATTCATCCAGGTTCTTTTAGTGATAAAGAATTTTCGGGATGGACGTACTTTGTTGAAGGAACCTAGAGACAACCTTGGCCATGTTTCTTTCTCATTAACGACTGTTCATAAAGGAAGTTCCGGCTTCTGATCTCTGAAAAATAACTTTAAGCTCAAAGTTGAATGTGTAATTGCAACTGCACTTTGTGGCAGTGGTGTCATCTATCCAAATAGTGAATCCAAGTAATATATATGAGCTTGTGACACATTTTGTATTATATTTTATTCAAGCCTAGATATAGTTTCGCCATGGCTCGCACTGACTGGTAGAATAGCCTCGAACAAAAGTAAAACTTTCACGATCTATTACGGCGGATATTGGTTCCGTCGCTGTGTACTTCGGCCAGCCTTGCCCACCTGGCAACTTAGGGTTCCTGTGAGAATAACAAAAGAACAAGCCGATAAATGAACCGAGGGCGCGATTACAAGTAAATTCAGCTCTATTTTGTGACGAGGGAAAAAATTCGATATAAGCTAGATTTCTATTTTTTTTTTATTATTCCGACATGTTACGTCAAAAGTATCATTTGTAATCAACTGACTGCTCAGCTAATCTTGAATTTTAGATATTCTAAAAAATATTAATACACCCCCAAAAATAAAATGGTCTCGCCTTTCGTCTAGAATCTATAAGAGCTATATATGACATCCCGAACCATTTCGCTCGTTTTGCAAGAAAGCGTTAAGGTTTTAAGGACATATATTACAAATATCAACAACTACGTACGATAACGTTTTTATCAGATGGGAACTAATTGAGGCCTAAAATTATGCTTCGATATTTAAACTGGTTAAATACATATCGATAAAGGTGTTAACCTAAAAGTTCTACAATTCACGTCTGAACTAATTGCCGTGTAGTGTACTGTTCTTGCCCCCCCCCCCTCCCCCCAAGAACACTACACTCATTTTTACCTTTAAAAAAAAGTAGGGCTTACGCACTGTTCATACGCCGCGCGAAGTAGTTCTTACGAGATTTGGTTGTCGGTGGAAGAAGCAGTTCTTCTAGAGTGAAATTTTGATAAGCGTTTGATAGGCGTTTGAGATGTGTTGATAAAAGAACATCATCCTAATCTAAAATGAACTTGCATATATATTAATTCTCTACACAAAGAGGGAAATTAGTATTGCTCCGCGGGGAGCCGGACTACTTTTTTGAACTACAGTTATTGAGGTGAAAACGAGCTCAGATGAAGTTTTTCGTTTTGTCTTGTTTTTGAATGCTATAGCAAAATAAGATATCAAAAATATTGTCAACCCTCCAATATAATTTTCTCGCGGCTGCTTAGGGGTATTTCTCACGTTAATTCCTTTAGTTTTGATAACTTTTTATATCGGTGATTGAAATCGCGTTAACCGTCTAAAAAGACGCCATTTTGACTGTAGGTGTGGCATAGACATAAATAAATATTTATGTATAATAAACACAAAAATAAAAAAAAAATTATGTGATATTAACTTTATTGTTATTTGTCGTCCTCCAGCGTCGTCAAGTCTTTTTCTTTCACTTCCCGCAGTAAAAACGATGGGCATCTTTTTAAGAAAATGTCGTTGATAAAAGTGGATGCCCATTGCCAACGCATCATTAGTTCGTGCTTTTTTTACAGCATATAAATATTACATGTATTTTTTCTTTCTTTCTTTACTTTTTTTTTCTTTCTTTGAATTCACCCCGTAGCACCAGAATCAATACTGCAGGGAAAAGTGGGGGTACAATTTCGCAAAACAGAAATACAATACAGATGTATCAAAACATATTTTTTTAAAAAGAATACGCAAGCACGTGGGTAAACAAAACAATGGCCATTTTGGTGGGTCACTTTTCAATTATATATATTAACAATAATTCCGATAACATCGTGCAGACTGCAACACGCCATGCATAGGCAAACATTAGCTGTTTGCCAGTCACAGCAAACAGATCAAAGCAGAAAGATTATATATCCGCCAAAACCACCAAATTCAAAACTTAGCGCAAAACAACAACACAACCATAAGTCATGCCAGCCTGTCCAGCTATCACGCGTCTGTCTGTCATATAAAAAATAATTATGCATTAATAGAAATGATTTCCTCGGGAAATTCATTCCACTCCTTTATCGTGTGAGGATCAAATTGTTATTTAAATACGTTGGTTTGAGGTGTAGACTTTCTTGTTTTCTTTGAGTGGTCTAATCTGTGAGATATGAAGTTGTGGTTTACTAATCCTGGTGTGACCATGGTATATGGCATGAAGAAACTTTAAGCGAAGACGTCTTTTTCTGAAGCACAGTGGTTCACAAATCAACTGATTTCTAATCGTAGTGACGCTTCCTCTATGGGTGTAATTTAATAGAACAAATCTGACAGCCTTCCTCTGTACTTGCTAAATCATTTTACTAAATAGCTCTCTTTTGCTTCCCACAGCACACTGCCGTACTCAAGAATTGCCCTCATGTTAAAGTAAAACAAAGTTTTTTCTTTACATTTTGAGGACAGTCCCCAAAGGTTCGTCTTAGGAAATTTAACATCTGGTTTTCTTGAGCAGTTCTAAAATCACTGTAAGCACTCCGTGAGATATTGTGAGTGAATTTTACACCAAGATATTTTACTTGTTCTATCTTATTGATCGAAGCACCACCGATCGGATATGAAAAAGAAACTGGTTGTCATTTTCTGCTAAAAGAAATCTGGTTACAGATGTCAATATTTAGCTTAGTTTACCGTTTTCCGCACCATCTTGAAAATTTTTAGTGCCTTCCTTCAGAACCAAACAGTCTGACTCCGACCTAATATCGTCGTATATGGCACAGTCGTCCGCGTAAAGTCGAATGTTTTATCTAATTTCAGAAGAAATATAGATTACAAATATCAAGCCCAAGAGACGGCCCAAACAAAATACCTGGGGACACCCGACGTTACATCCAAGTAGGTAGATGTTTCGCCGTTAATCAAACCTGCCTCTTTAGTGCTTTTTAAATGATCAGTAAGACAGTTAAAATCACTATTTGGGACGTTCAGGGACGTTACTTTTGCAGTATTAATTTGTGGGGAACCATGTCATGCGCCTTTTGGAAATCAAGTAAAACGTAGTCTACCTGCAGACCTTAACCAAACGAATAAGTGATATCGTGATCACATTCAACTAGCTGAGTGTCACACGAAAAACTGCTAATCCATGATAATTAGGATTGGAAATACTGTTTTTGCTGAGATGTTTCACAAGGTTGCTGTAAACCATATGTTCCAACATTTTCAAGCACAGAAAGTTCCTCTTACATTTTTGAGTAGTTTCAATGCTTTCAAAATAAACTTTTCCTAAGGGGCATACTTGCTGTTTGATTTTTTCGCGTATTTTATATTCCCTGCTTGTGCCAGATGACCGCTAATGCCAGGAAGGATCAATAATGACGATATTAAAAAGCCTCCATTACTAAAAGTCAAATCTAACGTGCTATTTTCCCTGTAGTGTCAATCCGTGTAGGAACTGTTACGTGCTGGTGCAGAGCAAAACTTGGGATAAAATTGGTGAACGACTTGTATGGTACAAATGAGTTTAAGTTACATGGCTGCCCTTCCGTTTAGTGTATGTCTGCCAAATTACTTAAAGTCTCATCATAGCACAAAATAGTCGTATGAAATAATAACGGCGTTTGATGAAACATTAATGGAATCATCACTAGACGCAGGCGGTACGTAGAAAGAACCAATAACAATATATTTACCATTTTGCAGCGGCACTTTGCAGCGGATCGATTCAAATAAATGTTTTGTAAAATATATAAAAGCGTTTTGTAGGCTGAGACCAATTTAATTAGAAGCTTAGTTATTCTAGCAGTTGTCTTTGAAGTATTAAATTTCTTCCTTTATCCCGGTGCGGCAGAATAGACATTCACTAGTATAACTTTTACTTCTGAGTATCGAGCACATAATTACCGCTTGCAATACGCTGAAGCAAGCTAATTGTAAATTTCAACAAAAATTGACATATTTCAATTAACACAGTCTTTTCCTTCCTCACGCTCACAATGCACGAAAAGTTAGTTTCATTATACGATTGTGGGATTTCAATTATTTTGAAGTTGAACCTTTCAACCGACTTTCACACAACTTGGCGATCATAGATGCCTCTACGGTGCAAGCTCCACCTACTTTCAGGTGTAAATTGAAGAGAAGCAAAGCTCCAACGTACCCGGTGTTGGCGAAAGAGGAGAGTATGGTCACAATATTTTCGCTGACGATGCGGTCTTCATCAGTGTAGTTAACCTGGTCTCTGAGAGGAATGCCGAAGAAGAACTCTATTTCATATGAGTGAGGAACGCCCATCCAGAACGGAAGGTTGTTCTTCTTTGAAAGGTGTGCGAACACGTAAGAGTAGACCGCGTGGCTTCTTGAAGCGTGCTGCTCAGCAAAGAACTGCACCGGGCACTTGAATTGGCGGTTGGAGAGATAGTCAATATAGAGCCTTCTTAATTCTTCGTTGTCTCCATATTCGAATGGCTTGCTTGACATGTCGGACTTGCTCCATGAAAAGACCGCTTGGCGTATCTCGCTTTCGAAACTCTCGTAATTCATATTCTCCCACAAGGGTCTCTCAAGTTTCAACATAGGGCTCAAGAGAAGAGAAAACGCGCCTTCATCAGAAGTAACGCCCACGATGACATCAACATCCTGAACCATACCAATGTCGACTGCCTTGATCGGGAGATGCGGTAAGAAACGGTTGTGGAACGTCGGCAAGAAGGAAAAGTGTTTGGGACCCATGAATTTCTGTGTTGCAAGGATGAGTTCGTCTACCGACTTGGACCTCAAACACTTTAAAACTTCGTCTGCATTATTATACAGATCTTGATTTGGATTCGAACAGTTGACAATCTCAGCCACACCGTTTCCCTTGCTCACACTTTCCTTAACAGTGTCATAGTAGTCGGAGGTGTAAAGGGACCCACTCATCATGACGGCTCTCTTGAAGAGACCTTTGCTCATTGGAGACAGAATGTGAGCGTGAATGCTCATGGCGCCTGCGCTCTGACCGAAGACCGTTACCATGGATGGGTCTCCTCCGAAGACATGTATGTTGTCTTGCACCCACTTCAGTGCCATATGCTGATCGAGGAGTCCCTGATTACCAGACGCATCCGTCGTATTAGCGTTTAAGAATCCCAGAATGCCAAGGCGATAGTTCATTGACACAACCACAAGACCCGTTTGCGCAGCAAGGACTTCCCCGTTCATCTTGTCAAGATATGAACTGAGTCGCGCAAACCCTCCTCCGTGTATCCACACAAGGACTGGTCTCATCGAGACGTTTTCAGGCTTCCAAACGTTAAGATAAAGGCAGTCTTCTGTTTGCTTGAAAGGTACTGCGGATTCTGTTGGTGCAGGAAACTGTGGGCAGGCAATTTTTTCAAAGGTAGTGTAGTAACTCACATCCCAAGAAGCACAAGGAACCGGAGGCTTGAAGCGCAATTCTCCAACAGGTGGCTCTGCGTACGGTATCCCTTTGTAGACCTCGACGGTTCTGCCAAGTACTTGCACCCTGGTGCCTTTAACTTTACCTTGCTTCGTACCTCGCATCTCGCTTGCAGTCGGGCCGCAGGTAGCCGCCACTATCAACACAGCCTGCAACAACCTGAACATCGCGATGGCAATAGAAGGAGCCGATAGAATTTTGACTCTCTTGCGTCAATATACGCGGCCCACATATAGGGCCGCAGGATTTTGAACGCGATGAAAGCTGCGGTAGTGCAATGACCCCCTCTGCTTCGGCACCAACTGTGTTTTGAAAAAGCTAGATGCAGCAAAATGAGAATAACTGTTGGGACCACAGTGCAGGTTATTGCAGTTCAACACCGTAAACACCACTGTTATATTTCGTATGAACCTACGATGGACTAAAGGTACAAGCTACGGACCGCCAGATCCAATCACGAGCCACTTAGAAATTGTGCGGTATTTCGCTTCGATGCACGTATCGGTGCCCGAGTCTCAGATCGCTGATGAGGTGACGGGTGGACAGTGGTTCGAATCGAAGAGCACTGAGGATTCAGCAATTTTACATCGCAAAGAAAGCGACTACATATATAGGCTCTTTGCAGCGTCGAAGCTATAGAAATGATGTGGCGCTTTTGGATTCAAGCATTATTCGTCCACCCCTAATGAATGTTAAGCGTGTCATAGTATAGCGTGGAACGTGATTGGACATGGCGGCCCGTGGCTTTGGCCTCTAGTACGTCGTAGGAAGAGATAAAGTTTTTTGTTTTTTTTATAGATAAGCCGGACCAATCGAGGAAGTTTCTCTTTTATGAGTACAATAAAACAACTTGACCATATAAGCACTTAAGGTGACGCATGGAAAATTATAATGTTTGTAAGTGTTAGGCAACATTCAATTTGTTTTACCCATGATGCTCACATTATTAGCTTCAAAAACATTAAGTGAAGATAACACAGTGAATTTAATAAGGTAAACATTCAGATACTATGTGATGCATTAGACATTGATGAGCTCCAAATTAAATAAATGAGTGAAATATTAAATTAATCTGCAGTTAGTGCACTGTTCTAAAACTCCCCACGTTTACCATGGAGCATGACAGAGCGACAAAAGATAGAATTGTCATGTCTTGATTTTAATACGTACAGTCTCCAGATTTTTTAACAATATCGCTAAAACGCAGACCGGCCGGTAGGTCAGCGCCTTATGGCGGCGTGAAACAGCAAGTCAGAGAAGATCGGCGTGTACCTTCTGCTATACGCGCGTAGTTTCGCTGTGACACGCAGTGATACGTCGCTGGTCTACCGGCCAGTCGGCGTTCGCCCGATATTGCGTAAGAATCTGTAGGCTGTACATCACCAACGAGGAATTATTGTATAACTGGTCAATTAAATTTTAAAAGTATTATTTTTGTTACCCGCAGTATCAAAAAGATAGATTAGCAGCAGTACTTTCCCCCTTCAACGTCGCGCTCGTTAAGGTTCAGCAGCCTTTGAGGCAATTCCTTCTTATTTTTTGCAAAACTTATGGTGGCAGTGTAAACACCCGTTTGCTCTCGAATGCGAGAGCCAAAAGCTCCCGATATTTCAGTCGGTAAATTACGTGGCTCACAATGTGAAAGTCTGGGCTTCGAACCCTGACGGAGACTTCTACTTTCGTGGTCATTTATGTGTTCCTCATATTACACTGGTTAACGTAACACTTTTCGGTGTCTGTTTGTCGTTCCAATAAAAAGTTACACATTTTCTTGAAATTCAGTCAATAAAACACAATCTGTGCAAAAAAACAACAAAAAAGGAAAAGTTGTGCTTATTCTCGACTAAGAGAGTGGTGGAAAAGTGCATGAGCTCCAGCAGTTGGTAAACACGGTAAGAAGAGCTCAACTGGCGCATTGAGTCAGTCGCGCCAAAAGGCGTCGTGCCCAGCACTTCTCTTGCACCGGGAAATATGGTGCCAACACGGGTGTGTGTAGCATGTATACGTACGTGGGAGAGGTGTCGAAGGGTGAAGGCTGATGCGGCTACTTTCTATTCGATAATCAGTGGTGAGGTGAGAAGCAGCCGGAAAAAACAAAAGGTGCGAAACACACACACACACACACACAAGTTTGTTTTTACTATTACATCATTTGAGCTAGATACGAAGTTTGTTAGGAGTCGCCCCATTAAAAGAAAATAGTCACAGTACCATCCTCATTAGGTAGGCCGTGTAGCGACTCCGAGTCATGACTCGAGTTACCCCTTCCACCAAACGGGCCACCTTCACTTCCGGTGCTCGTGACTCGAATCAAACTCTGGAGCTGCGTCCTTGGAGTCGGTGCTCGTGGCGTCAAATAGTCCTACTACCGGAAGGTAGTTCCGCCTGGTCCAGCCAAGTGCAGACGACGATAGCGCGTGATCGGCGTCTGCTCTCGGCGGGACAAGGCGGAGCTCTTCGCGGGCGGCTCGCGCTTGTTTTGGTAGCCATTTCGCTATTGTTGGTTTGTCCGGCAAAGGTATCTGATAAGCTGACGGAATTCACGATGGATGTATCATCGCAAAAGCAACTAAATGTGATTCGCCTCATCGTGCGGCCCTGTGATAAGTGAGAATATGGTGATTTTCTTGTGTGATGCGTTAAATTAATCGTCCGCGTCCTTATGCCGGCCTTTTCGTTGGCGTTGCTACGCGTAAGCACGTATAGCTTTGTAAACGCTGTTTGTTAGTTCCCCGTGCTGGTGTCCACCAGATGTTTCTTGTGTTCTTTCAATCTCATTCGTGGGATGTGGGTTTATGGCAAACACAGCATTGAGAACGCAGCGGTTTTTGTTTCTGTCGTGCATTGCATTCGTTTTTTTGTTACTGAGGCAGCTTCACTAAAAGATTTCATAGCCGCACAGCTAAAGAAAGTAGCACAGCTTCTGAATTCTGATACGGTGCGCACTGCATACACAAAACTGAACAATTCTACTTTGCGTGTTTTTTTTTTCTTGTAAAATTGACGACTAAGCATTATTATAAAGCTCACATCGTTACCATTATTGGCAATAGTCATAGTCAATTGATTTCCGGCGTGCTTATGAGAAGTCGCATTCGGTTCGGTCCCAATTTGTGGCGCTATAAACAGCAAATAACGACACAAGTTTACGCTTGAGCAGGTTCAGCGCCAGATTAGCGTCGTCTGTGTTCTGCTTGGTCAGCGTTCCGGCCATCTTGCAATGTTCCTAAAAAACAACAAAAAACGGAAATTCATGTAGAGGGCGCGAACTCCATCCGGAGGTTCTCTTAAAGCCCACTTAATAGAGACCCCGACGGAGTGGCTAGGGTCGAAGCCATGGAGTCTCTTTTTAACGGAACCATAGTGTTACCATAGGCTCGCTTTGCTGACTCAGAAAACGATGACCCCGACCCTTTCTTCTAAGTAGACCCTTCCCGCATGTATAGCTGACCTGGTATTGGGGATAGAAGGCCAGTTTCCCCTCCTCGTTGTTCGCTTTTATTATTTTTGAAGTAGTGAGGGGCACTGGTTAACCGTGGGGCGGGAAATGTAATCGAAGCTAGCCCGTCGATGGCTTCGTTGGTGGCGAACTTTCCTCTCGTCACTCGCACGTCGACCGAGTCTACTGTTTGTTTGAAATCAAGCTCAAATAAGCGTCGTGTGGATTACATATGTATCGTCTGGTGTGCAGACTCTATTTCTTGAGTTGGTTCCCTTTATTCCTTTTGGCAGTTGTAAATGTTACAGGTCGAGCTAGCGCAGGTACTCTGCCAGCTCCGCGGTAGTGTGTTGGCTACACAATTGGGCTTACGACGTCCCTATCGCCGAGGTCATGCACGGTGTGGACAGCCTTCAGCAGTTCACGTGACTGCCTTTGTGGTTCCAATAGTTGCCACCTCGGTTGATCAGAGGCGGGTTCCGAGGTCCCACGGGCAAAGACTAACAAGTCAACGAGCGACGGGCTTTGGCGACTTGAATAATGCACAAACTTTTATCCAAACCAAATAAACGAAGCGAAGCCTGTTAAGATTATCAGTGAACTCTTTTCGTGGTGGATTCAAGTGACGGACGTGAGCGTCACGTTTCTTAGTTGATTTGTCTGCTGTAACGCTAGGGCTACAGCGCCTTGGACGCCTCACCATCGACAGATGCCATCTTGTTTGGAAAGCCACCGATGCCGCGCCACTGCCGCGTTGCGATTGGTTGCCCCCTCCCGGTTCGCGAAAGCGGTTGGGGAAAATCGGTCCAGAAGTGGTTGGAAAAAACGCGCCACAACCGCTCAATCCCAGCTGCTTTGTGGTTGAGACCGCGCGGATCCGGTTCGCGTTTGCGGATCCGCTTCCATGGTGTGAACGCGCTATAAAGGAGCGCGGACGTAAGGCTACCATTGACCTTCACTTCTACACTTCCCCCTTTCAAAGAAAACAAAAATCTTTAAGGGCATTGAAGCTTCGGAGTGGAACGCGATACCGTTATGTGGCCCCCGTTCGCATCGCCTTCTTATTTGCTTCCCATGCTCGGAGACGTGACTGCGCTCCGAGATCCGGATTTGCTATCGCATCTCCGGATCGTCCTGTCGCTGCTGTCGCGTCACTTCGGCTTCACGGGCACGCATATAAACATCTAAATTCACATTCGTTCCCAAGCTGTGTAAGCTGCCCTGCGTGGCCTAGTCGGCAGCGTGGCCGGCTCGCAACCGAAGGGTCGAGGTTTCGAAACCCGCCTAAAATTTTTCACTTTTTTTTTCACGCAAATGAATAATTTTATAAAGCGAAATCACATCTGGCGACCCTTAATTCGCAATACATGTCAGGCTTTAGTCACTTTCATGTGAGCATTGTGAGTTGTTTGAAATTCCTGTGCGAGTTCACGCCACCGACGCCGACTTTTTTGCGACACGAGCTCCTTAACGCTGTCGCGTTAAAAACTTAAATTTGTAGGAAGGCTTCGGAAGCGTTACTGAGATGCAAACTTGTTTGGCTGATAGAATTGGCTATCGTATTCATTCTAACAGTTTCTCTTACCCCTCTTTTCATGTCGATGGGTTCTTTGTGGACGACTGCTCTTTCTGCCCACTGGATTGTACAATTCCTGCATTTCCGGGCATGTTTCATTTAGTATGAGTTGGGAGCTTTGTCTTCGACGTTTCGCCTATGCTCGGTTAATCTGTAATTTGGACATCTGCAAGTTTTGCCCATGTATTTAAACCAACAGGCCAAAACGATCTTATACACTACCCCTCTCTCACAGATAACCGACTTCTCTCTATGTGCTTTTGGTTCCCCTTGCCCAACTTGAAGTCCGTGCTAAACACAACGTCCACACCAGACTTCTTCGCACATGCCTTCGCACTGTATACAATATCTCATGATAATATGGCGTTACCGCGTACGGTTTCTTATGTCTGTCCTTGTCCCTTTCTGTTCGTTCGCTCATTTTGGTCATTTGCCTACAAATGAAGTCTTCCTCGCAGCCCGCGCCACATAGTCATTTATACTGACTTTTTACTGAGCCTGCAATATAATGAATGCACGATATGTTCATCGCAATGGTGATACGAGGCCCTAACTGTGGTATCTGGAGTAACAGGCCGATGGGGTTCTTCGCTGGCGCATCTTTATTCCAGGACTACCGGAGTACGACACATAGTCACGGGCGTGAGAGAGCGGCAGGATAGCAGCGGGTGGTGCAAACGGTGCGCTGGCTCAGATAGATATGGCGCCCCGGAACAGTGGCGCGAGACGCACGAGCGCGCGCTAGCTGTTGCCTGCTTATTGTGTCACCCATACAACACTCCCCCACACTTAGTTCAGCACAGTAATACCATTCGACGGCGTTCCAGTGCAATACTCACAAAGTAACACGATATGACAATTTAACAAAACACGAGAATAATTGAAGTTCTGGAAAGTACAAAGTACAGACATACTAAATACAAAATAATTACAGTTCTGAAAAAACACAAAGTCCTCGTCTTTTTCTCTTCCTTCTCAAGGCGAAAACCTATTAGGCGCACGCCGTTGCCGTTCGGGATACCGGCGCTGAATTTCTTGCGGCTGGGCTGGGGAACGACCGGAGACTGGAGTTGATCCCATGTCCCTCTACCCCCGGTGACCCAACTGGAGGCAGCTCGTTCACGAGTCCCCCTTGCCCTGGGGTTGGCGATGATGGCAGGACACTCGGTATCAGCAAACCACCTTCCTCCTCCTCTGGGGTAGAGCTCTCCCGCAACCGCAGGTGGTCTTGGTGTCGCCGCCACACGAAGGTCCCCCGCGGTGTGGTCACGCGAAGCCTGTAGGAGACCGGTCCGGATCTAGCCATGACGACTCCGTGCAACCACCTCTCACCCGGCCGGAAGTTCTTGACGTACACCTTATCACCCGGCACGAAGTGTCGGTGTTTGCCACTGTGCTTCACCTGTAGCACGTCCTGCTTGCGGTGAACAGTTTCCTCTGCAGAGGGTCGCAGTCTGTCGAGACGGGTAGTGAGCCGCCGCCCAAGCAGCAACTCCGCAGGACTCTGAAGGGTTGTGGCGTGCGGTGTGTTTCTGTAAGCTAACAAGAAACTTGCTAGTCGACGGGACAGAGGCCGGCCCGGCATCTCTTTTCGTAAGGCCTCCTTCAGGGTGCGGATGAAACGCTCAGCCAGCCCATTACTTGATGGATGGTAGGGGGCGGTCCTGACGTGCCTCACACCGTTCTCTCGCAAGAAAATCTGAAATTCTTGGGAACAAAATTGGGGGCCATTGTCACTGACAACAACATCTGGCAGACCGAAATGACTAAACAGCTCCCTCAGCTTTTCAATAGTTGCTTCGGCCGATGTGCTGTTCATCACAAAAACCTCGGGCCACTTGGAGTGGGAGTCGACGATCACCAGAAAATGACGGCCCTGGAAAGGTCCCGCAAAATCCAAGTGCAGCCTTTGCCACGGACGAGTTGGCCAGGACCACGGATGCAGCGGGGCTGGACCTGGAAGACTCTGCTGCTGTTGGCAGGTATCACACGACCTGACGCGATATTCAATATCCGCATCGACCTCCGGCCACCATACATAGCTGCGTGCCAGTTCTTTCATCCTTACGATTCCAGGATGCCCTTCATGCAGCTCGTCCAGTACGCGTTCGCGCAGTCCCTTCGGGATCACAACCCTCATTCCCCACAAAAGGCAATTCTGGTGCCACGTCAGCTCGCTTCTTCTTGCAGAGTAACGCTTCAGACAATCTTCTACTTTTGCGGGCCACGCACCGGCAAGGAATCTTGCCACTTGACAGAGCTCTTTATCTTTTGCTGTAAATTGTGCGATCTCTTGGCTGCTTACCGGAAAAGACTGCAGGCGGAGACTGAGAAACGCCGCGACGTCATCCTCGTAGTCTTCATCCTGAAATCCAGGAACTGGAAGTCGTGACAAGCAGTCCGCCTCCACGTTGAGTCGACCCGGTCGGTAAACCAATCGGTACTGATAGGCGGAAAGGGTAATAGCCCATCTTTGCAGACGTGCGGCAGCAATGCTCGGAATTCCCGTCTTTGGACCAAGAATGGTTTGCAACGGTTCGTGATCAGTGACCAACACGAAGGATCGTCCAAACAAGTAGATGTGAAATTTCTTCACGCCAAACACAATAGCCAGTGCCTCCTTTTCTAGTTGGCTGTAGTTCTTTTCACTCGATGTCAAGGTTCTCGACGCAAACGCGATAGGCCGTGTGTCGCCGTTGGAGTACACCCTGGACAGGACGGCTCCGAGACCGTATGCCGAGGCATCACATGACACCTGAAGGTCTGCCTTGGGGTCGTAGTGTGCCAGGACAGGTGCGTCAACCAGAAGCCTCTTCACCATGTTAAAAGCGTCTTGACAGCGCTTGCTCCAGGTCCAGACGACATCTTTTCTTAGTAGCTCGTTCAGCGGTGCTATTGTGGTCGAGAGGTCTGGGAGGAACTTTCCGTAGAATGTCACCATTCCCAAAAACGACCGTAACTGTTTTGAGTCTTGCGGTTGAGGTGCATCGAGGATCGCTTGCACATTTTCTGCCAACACAGCTACCCCTTGCTCGCCGACTTGGTGCCCCAGGAACTTCAAACTTGCCTTCAAGAACTCACACTTTTCTCTCTTGACTCGGACGCCCTTGTCACTCAGTTTCTTTAGGACTTGCTCCAAATTCTTCAGGTGATCCCCGGCGGTCTTCCCTGTTACCAGGATATCGTCGAGATAGCAGGTTACTCCTTGAATTCCCGCCAGCAAGCTGTCCATTATCTTTTGAAACAGTGCTGGAGCTGAAGCGATCCCAAACGCCAAACGCTTGACGCGGAAGAGACCCTTGTGCGTGTTGATTGTCAGATAGGGTTGTGACTCAGGGTGGACCGGAACTTGCTGGTATGCACGACTTAAGTCTATTTTCGAGAAAACAGTCGCCCCAGCTACCGTTGCTAGAATATCTTCCAACCTTGGCAACGGGTACTGCTCCACGTCCAGGCAAGGGTTTACCGTTGTTTTGTAGTCCCCGCAAAGGCGTACAGACCCATCCTTCTTCAAAACCGGGACAACTGGTGTAGCGTAGTCACTATGGGCCACCGCTTCAATGACACCTGTCACCTCCAGTCTCTTTAGCTCTTCTTCTACAGCTGGCTTCAGGGCGAACGGCATACTTCTAGCTTTCAGAAACTTTGGACTCGCACCTTCCCTTAAGCTTAGCCGAGCCTCTTCCCCTCGCATGCATCCGAGCTCGTCCTTGAACACATCCTGGTAGCGTATTAGGATGTCTTGGAGAGACGCTTTTACATCAACGCTGACCGCGTTTAGCGATCCCAAGTCAAACTTGAGCTTGTAGACCCAGTCTCTGCCAATCAAAGGTGGCCCATCTTCTCCCAGTACGTGAAGCGGAAGTTTTCCTTTGAAGTCTCGGTACTCTACGTCCACCGTCGCCACTCCTTTTGGCTTGACACGCTCGCCGGTGTACGTGCGCAGTATTAGTGACGCCGGAGACAGCTCTGTGCGAGGAAACAACGATTGGAACTGGCGTTTCGAAATGATAGACACGGCAGCACCGGTGTCTAGTTCCATCTGAAGAGGAGCGTTCCCGACCTTGAGCGTGTAGTAGAACGGCGCATTCATGTTTCTGTCTTGAAGCCCGTATATCGCTTCACTCTTTTCTTCCTCAGCGGAGAAGTTTCTGAACTGATTTGCTCTGCCTGGTGTATTGGCCAGTGATGCTTTACAGAAACGTTGGAAGTGACCCTCACGGTTGCAGCGATAACAAATAGCGTTACGGTGCGGGCATGACGAGGCAATGTGCTTAGGGGACCCACAACGGAAACATTTGTCCTGAGCCCCCACTACCGCTTTCGGTTTCACCGCCGTCAGTTTCTGCAGTTCGAGTTGGTCGTTGTCCGCCTTATTATGACACGCCTGCACATTCATGGTGGCTCTTTCAATAGTTAACGCTTTTTCCACAGCTTTCTTGAATGTCAGGCTCTCATCTTCGGCAAACAAAACTCTCTGAATGTCAACACGACTCAGACCGCTGACGAATCTGTCTCTGAGGGTTTCTTCCAGGTTACTTCCAAAATTGCACGTCTGTGTCATTCTTTTGAGCTCGGCGACATATTTTCCGACCGATTCCCCTTCCTGTTGTTCTCTCTTATGGAACGTTGCCCTTTCTGCGATGACCGACGGCCTCGGCGACAAGTGGTTTCGCAAAACGGCCAGCACATCTTCAAAACTCTTCAATGCCGGGTCCTCAGGCGCTACTAGAGTCTTGAGCAACTTATACGTGTCAGCTCCTATGAGGCTTATGACCACGTCCACTCGGTTTGCGTCCGCTACCCCGTTTGCTCTCAAAAAGGCTCGCAACCTTTCCTCGTAGGATAACCAATCACACTTCGTGTCATCAAAAGGTTCGACTTGCCCGAATAAGGCCATCGTGACTGCCTTCCGGTCCTCTGGTCCTTGATACAAGATGCCAGATACTGGAACATCAGTTGAAAGGCCCTCAGTTGCTGAGTCGTCCGACGGTCTCTGCATCCCGTTGTAGCAGCGAAATCCGTGTCCTCGTCGCCACTGTGTGGTATCTGGAGTAACAGGCCGATGGGGTTCTTCGCTGGCGCATCTTTATTGCAGGACTACCGGAGTACGACACATAGTCACGGGCGTGAGAGAGCGGCAGGATAGCAGCGGGTGGTGCAAACGGTGCGCTGGCTCAGATAGATATGGCGCCCCGGAACAGTGGCGCGAGACGCACGAGCGCGCGCTAGCTGTTGCCTGCTTATTGTGTCACCCATACAACACTAACACTACCGCTTTTAGCGTTTTAGAATGACAACTTCTTCTTGGAAGAATAGGTTTCGGATTGCCTTTTCCATACTCGCAACACAAACCCTGCCCAATATGAATTCATAAATAAAGAAATTGCAACACTCCTTTTTCCGGCTGTTCCACAGTGAGCGGCAATTGAGGCTCTGACTTTCTTATTAGTCTTTCCACTATTTCCGCCACACCGCTACGAAACGAACACACGATGATGTCGTCGACACCTGACCAGTTGAGGGCATCAAAGGTAATCCTTTGATGCCCTCAACTACGGTGGAGTCCAAAGAGCTCTGCCGGTACTGGTTCCACCGCCGAACCTATACGCACCGCTTCTTTTTGAGCATACCTCATTTTCATGCCCTCATTTTCCACAATTATAGAGCAAAAATCAAACTCTAGAATTGTAAAACAAGAAAGATCTACAAATATGCCCGATCCGGATTGAAATTTGACTGAGTTGAGCTCCAGTATCTCCTTCACTCTCTTCATTTGTAAATTTCTCGGTAACGAAAAGCACAAATATTTGATCTCCCTAGATCGGACCGAGCACTGCCTTCCACAGCGAATGTCCAATACGCCAATCAATTCATTCAGATCTTTTAGAGACAGAGCATTTTCGAGATGGACGTAGTTTCGCCCCTGTTGAAGGAACTTAGATACAGCCGTTGGACACGTTCCATTCTCATTAACGACTGCCCGTAAGGGAAGGTCCGGATTCTTTGAGAAATAACTTTAAGCTCAAAGTTCAATGTGCTGTTGTGACTGGACTTTGTGGCAGTGGTGTCATCCTTATAAAAATCGAATCCGAGTAATAAATCTGAGCTTGCGACCTATTTTTTTATTATATTTTATTTGACCCTAGATAAATTTTCGCCATGGTTCGCACTCCCTGGTAGAATAGCCTCGAACAAAAGTAAAATTTTCGCGATCAATTATGGCGGATATTGGTTCCTTCGCTGTGTTCTTCGGCCAGTCTTGTCCACCTGGTAACTTAGGGTTCCTGTGAGAATAACAAAAGAACAAACCGATAAATGAACTGAATATACAATTATAAGTAAATCCAGCACTATTTTGTAGTGAGGAAAAAATTCCCATGCAAGCCAGAGCTCTAATTTTTTTCTAATTTTTTCAACATGTTACGTTAAAAGTATAATTTGTAATGAACTGACTGCTCAATTAATGTTGACTTTTAGACATTTCCAAGAAATATTAATACAGCGTCAGAAATATAATAGTCTCGCCTCCCGTTTACAATCTATAGAGCTATATATGACATCCTGAACCATTTTGCCCGTCTTGTAAGATAGCATCATGACTTTGAGGACATGTATTACCGATATCAAGAACTACGTAGGATAACATTTCTATCAGCTGGAAACTATTCCATGCCTAAAATTATGCTCCGATACTTAAACTGGTTAAATGGATATTCATAAAGGTGCTAAGTTAAAAGTTCTTTTCATTTCACATGGGGGCTAATTGCCGCCGCCGCCCTCACCTCCCCCCCCCCCCCCCCCCCCCCCGAAAGAACGTCTACACTCATGTCCACCTTTAAAAAAAGTAAGCTTTACGAATTGTGCATACGCGTGCGAAGTAGTTCTTACGAGATTTGGTTGTCGGTGGAAGAAGCGATTCTTTTGAAGTTTAATAAGTGTTGATAAGCGTTTTATAAGCGATAAGCGTTTGATAGGCATTTGAGACGTGTTGATAAGAGAACATGTTACTAATCTAAAATAGACCTTGCATATATATTAATTCTCTACAAAAAGGGGGGCTTTAGTAATGCTCCCCAAAGAGCCGGACTACTTTTAGAGCGCAGCTCTTAGGGGCCCGTTTCCAGCCTGAGCGGCGTCGGCGTCGGCGTAACCGGGGGGGTCACGTGACCCCCCCCCGAGGTCACGTGACCCCCGAGGTCATGCGAGCCCCCCCCCCCCGAGGTCACGTGACCCCCCCAAGGTCACGTGACCCCCAAGGTCACGTGACCCCCCCGGGGTCACGTGACTACCCGCAGGTAGTCCGCTGGTCACGTGACCCCCCGAGGTCACGTGACCCCCTGAAATCATGTGACCGCCTGATGTCACACGACCCCCTTGAGGTCACGTGACCCCCTAAGGTCACGTGAGCCCCTGAAACGTGACTTCCGGGGGTCACGTGACCTAAGTGGGTCACGTGACCCACCCAGGTCACGTGAGCCCCTGAAGTCACGTGACTTCCGGGGGTCACGTGACCCCCGAGGTCACGTGACCCCCTGAGGACACGTGACCCCCTGAGGTGAAGTGACCTCCAGAAGTCACGTGACCCCCCTGAGGTCATGTGACCCCTTCAGGTCACGTGACCCCCAAAGGTCACGTGAGCCCCTGAGGTCACGTGACCCCCTGAGGTCACGTGAACCCCTGAAGTCACGTGACCCCCTTGAGGTCACGTGACCTCAAGGAGTCACCTATCCCTCAGTACGCTTCCATCCTCCTCCTCAAGAGCTGCGCTCTTACCGGCGTTACAGGGAATTGTTCATTTTTTTTAACTACAGTTCTTGAGGTAAAAATGACCTTTGGTGAAGTTTTTTTTTTGTTTTGTTTTTGAATGCTATAGCTGGATAAGATGTCACAAATATTGTCAACCCTCCAATATAATTTTCTCAGGGCTGTTTGTAGGTATTTCTTAGGTTAATTCCTTTAGTTTTAATACCTTTTTTTATACCAGTGGTTGAAATCTCGTAACCGTCTGAAAATACGCCATCCTGAATGTAGGTCCGTCATAGACATAAATAAATATTAATGTATAATAAATACAAATGAAGCTCGAGGTACACCTAAGCATTTCTTATGAGTTGTGAATGCGAAAGCATGCAAGCCGCTCGTCCGCTCCCTTTGTTGTCTGCTCGTCCGCTCCCATTGTCGTCTGCTCGTCCGCCCCCTTTATCGTCTGCTGCGTACTAGCGCGCGCGCGCTTCGGGATCTCGGAGGCCATGGCGCAGCGGCCAATGGGAGCCCCGTCGACGCTCGCCAGCCAATGGAACCGAAGGCGAATCGCTCCTATTGAGATCGCGGAAAGCAGGAGCTGTTTTCACGCTTCAAACTGATGACGTCAGCTCGCTCCATGAGAGAAATAATGCTTTCGCATTAAAAAGAAAAATTACGGGATGTTAACTTTATTATTTGTCGTCCTCTAGCATCATCGTCGCGTGTATTTCTTGCACTTCTCGTACTGAAAACAGCGGGCCTCTTTGTAAGAAAATGTAGACGATAAAAGTATAGATGCCAATTGTCAACGCATCATTTAGTTCCTGCTTTTTTCACGGTATATAGATATTACATTTATTTATTTATTTGTTTTTCTTTCTTTCTTTCTTTCAAGTTGCTTCGTTGCGCCAGAGGCATTATCGCACGGAGATGTGGGGGTACACTTTCGCGAAACAGAAATACAATAACAATGTATCAAAATATTTTTTTAAGATTACGCAAGCACGCGGGTAAACAAAACTTAAAAGAAAATTAAACTTGAAACAATAGCCATTTTGGTAGGTCACTTTTCAATTATCCGCTCTTCATAACATTAATAAGAAATATATATTACCAATATTCCCGATAACATCGCGGAGACTGCAACACGCCATATATATACAAACATTAGCTATTTGCCAGTCACATTGAATAAATAAAAACAAATAAGGTAATATATCAGCACTACAATCAAATTCAAAACTTAGCGCAAAACAACAACAAAATTATGTAAGTCATGACAGCCTGTCCAGCTATCGCGCGCCTGTCTGTCATATAAAAATAATTATGCAAATATAGAAATGATTCACTCGGGAAATTCATTCCACTCCTTTATGGTGTGAGGATACAATTATTATTTAAA